CAGAGTTCCAGAATGCTTTGATGGGGCCTGTGTCTCTTGACTAGGATTACCTCAAGATGCCATGCTAGAGGGGTATAGTAACAAGAAAAACTGCAATACCAGATAGTTTACAGTGTAGGAACTAACCCTTTTAGAATAAAAATCACATTCTGAATTCTAGGAATGTTTGAGCTCTGTTTTTTAAAATGGGAGTCAAGGGGCTAAAGAGATGGTGCAAACAAAACCAACCAAGACAAAGGAAAATCCAAGTAAGTTTGATCACTCTGCATCTCTACTTAAAATCCTAAATAGTTGCCCATTGCATCAAAAGAAAACTAAATGGGTGTTTCCTTTTCCTCTCTGATCTCCAGCCACTGTGGTAGGGCTCTTCCCCAAAGGCTCTTGATATGCTTGGGAATGCTCCATCTGCGATCTTCCGGAGAACTTCCCACCTTGGTGGATTTTTGTTGTTGTTTGTTTGTTTTTTGAACAGGGTCTCCTGGTTGACTGGCAACTTGCTACTTAGACCGAGCTATCCTAGAACTCACAACTATCCACTTGTCTCGCCTGTGCTGGTGTCATGTGTGTGGTCCACTATCGCTAGCTGATTGGTTAATTATTAATACTGTGTCAACCTATCCTTCTTTTTTTTTTTTTTTGGTTTTTCGAGACAGGGTTTCTCTGTAGCTTTGGAGGCTGTCCTGGAACTCGCTCTGTAGACCAGGCTGGCCTCGAACTCACAGAGATCCGCCTGCCTCTGCCTCCCTAGTGCTGGGATTAAAGCCGGGCGATCCTTCTTAATGTACTGGGATGTTTTCATTAACAACTATCACTTTCTATCGTGCTATAAGTACGTTAGAAATTTGACTTATTGTTTATCTCTAGCAGAAGCAAATTACGGGTTGAAAACAGAGATTTTTAAATATATTCTTAATTATTTTATTATTTTATTTATTTAGTCTTCCAGTGTGCTTGTGCATTACATTCATACAGTGCCTCCCAGAGGCCAGAAGAGGGCGTCTGATCCCCTGGAACTGAGCTAACAGGATTTGTGAGCAGTCTTGTGGGTGCTGGTAATAAAACTTGGATCCTCGTCTGGAAGAGCAGCTCGTGGTCTTAATACCCGAGCACTCTTTCCAGCAGCAGGGATAGAGATTTTCGTCTTCTGTGGTCACTAAGCACCTACAGGTGTATCTGTGCTTAGTTACTGCTCAGTATACAGCTGTCAGATGAACCGGTGTAAAGCTCTATGAGGTGCCAAGAACTATTTTGACACTGGGGTGCGACAAAAACCAAAAAACAACAACAAAACCAAAAAACCTTCCTGCCGTCTCCAGGAACTCACACGTTTAGTTGATATCTGGGGCAGGTAACACGTGCGAGTTTTGCACGCCTATCAGTTTTACAAGAGGAGGAAAAACAGCGCCAGTATTTGTACAGAATTTAACATAAGACATGCTTTAATACTTGTTTCTTTTTTTCCAAGCCAGAGAATTGGGGGTGTTAAATCTGTTCCACACATCTAGGCCGGGTCTTCACGAGCCCTGGGAAGTCCGCGTTACCCTGACTTTAACCGAAGATGCTGACAGCGTGCTTTACAGGGCCCGGATGAGAGCAGGGAATACCCGCCACTTGCTGAGTTGTCTTCCCGCAGAAAAGCCTCTTCGGGTTTCTCCGCGGTGAAGTGTAGGAGAGCATTCGGTTTCGAGAAAACTACAAATCCCAGCACCCTCCGCGGCAGACAGCTACGGGTCCCAGCAGGTTTCGAGGGCTCTGGGCGCGTCGAGGCGGGGAAGAGAAGCGAGTCAGGTTTTGACGTCGCTGCGCAGGCGCCGCTCACTGGTCGGACGTGACGTAAGGAGGGTTCCGGCTTCTGCCTCCGGTACTGCCGCCGCCGCCGCGGCTTGTCCTCCTAACATGGCGCCGCTAGATCTGGACAAGTACGTGGAGATAGCGCGGCAGTGCAAGTACCTTCCCGAGAACGACCTGAAGGTGAGCCGCGCCGGAGGCCGCCCTGTTTGCGAGGCGAGCCCTTCCGCCCGCGGGCGCCCGCCGCCCGCCCTTCTCCCCCGGCCGGACCCCGACCGGGCACCCGGCCCCGGCGCGGCGCAGGGCGCTCCGCGGTGAGACGACGCCGAGAGCCAGCGAGCCCGAGCTCCCCGGATGCAGACGCGGCTCCCTGGGGGACCCCGGGGATGCGCGGCCCTGGTCCCGCAGGACTCCGAGCGCTGGTAGCTCCCGCCGTGGGGTCCCCGGCAGAGGTGCCCGGCGCTGCGGACTGCGGAGGGCCGCGGTGTGGTCGCGTCCCGGCCGTGGACGCCGGCGGGTGGGGTCGGGGTGACAGTCGCCTCTGCTTCCCCGCTCGCTGCATTGCCTTAGGACGCGGGTCTCTTCTGAGGGTTCGGGTGCGGACCCCGTTTCCCAGCACCTTGCTGAGCTGTCTAAGGGAGCGAGCGGTCGCTTCTCGAGAGTGCAAATGCTTTGATGACCGCAGAGCTGCCCCCGCAGCCCGAAGTGTCGTTTTCGTCGTTTCTCAAGGTCTCACCCAGTTCACGTTCAGAGTGTTGAAGGAATGAATGTAAAGGAAGCAAGCCGTTGGTAAACCACTGTTTTCTTTTTTTTTTTTTTTCGAGACAGGGTTTCTCTGTGGCTTTGGAGGCTGTCCTGGAACTCGCTTGATAGTCCAGGCTGGTCTCGAACTCACAGAGATCCGCCTGCCTCTGCCTCCCGAGTGCTGGGATTAAAGGCGTGCGCCACCAGGTAAACCACTGTTTTCAAACGTATTTCGCTCCTGCTAAAGCTAGTGCCCAGGTCCCCGTTGGTGTTCATACCATGGTTTCTGGTGTCCTCCCCACTCCAGACCAGGTTTCTTTGTGTAACACAGCCTTGGTGGCCCTGGAACTGATCAGTAGACTAGGCTGGCTTTGAATTCAGATCCGCTTCTGCCTTTGAGTGCTGGGATTAAAGGTGTGCACCGCCGCCACCACCACTATCTTAACTCGTTTCTAGTTTACTCTTTAACTATTATTTAGTGCATAAACTCTTGGTCATTTGAATGTCTTTTACGTTGTTTTTAAAATAATTTTTTAAGCTGTGGACTTAAAGCTATTTTTCAAGAAAAATTATATTTTGTTGGTGAATTTTATTTCTTTTAGGAAGATTTTGCTGCTTTCTTCATATGAAGTTGATACTTAAATCAGTCAACAAATATGCAAAATGTTTAGGACCACTTATGCTGTTTGTGTGAAAGTACCTGTCTTGTACTTAAATACTGATCGTATGTGTTACATGGTTGGTACCCATGATCAGCCACCTGCATCTTTCAGTCATTTGTCTTTTTTTCTGCTTGCTAATTTTTGTTTCCTTTCTGAGATAGGATTATCTTTTTAGGGTTTTTTTTTTTTTTTTGGTCCTGGAACTTGTTCTGTAGACCAGGCTGGCTGTTTTTCCAGAGGACCTGGAAGTTCTATTTCCAGCAAGGACAAAGGAAGTTTGTAACCTTCTGTAACTTCAGTTCCAAGGGATGTGATGCCCTCTTCCTCTGCAGGAACTAGGCACTCACTTGTTTCCTTGTACATACAAGCAGGCAAAACAGTCATATACATAAATCTTTTTGTTTGTTTTTGAGACAGGGTCTCTCCGTAGCCTTAGCCTTGGTTGTCCTGGAACTTGCTTTGTAGACCAAGCTTGCCTTGAACTCAAGAGATTCAACTGAATGCTGGGATTACAGGCATGGCCCACTACTGCCCCGCAAAAAAAAAAAAAAAAAAAGTTAATGAGCCGGGGCGGTGGTGGTGCAAGCCTTTGATCCCAGCACTCGGGAAGCAGAGGCAGGCAGATCTCTGGGAGGTCAAGTCCAGCCTGGTCTACAAAGTGAGTTCCAGGACGGCTAGGACTGTTACACAGAGAAACCCTGTCTTGAAAACAAAGCAAGTTCATGGTGGCCTCCAACTGATCTTGAACTCCTGATTTTCTTGTATCCCCTCTCCAAATGCTGCAACCTAAACTACCATGCCTGACTGCTGTGTGCTTTTTCTTTCCTTTCTTCTTTAAAACAAATAAATACGATTTTTAAAAATTTATGTGCATTGATATTTTTCGTGCGTGCGTGCGTGCTGGATTGTTTGATCTCTGGAACAGGAGTTACAGAAAGTTTATGAGCTGCTTCGTGATTGCTGGGAATTGAACCCGAGTCCTCTGTAAGAGCAGTATGTGCCTTTAACCACTGAGTCATTTCTTTAGCCTATACAGAAAACTTTACATTTTTTTTCTCAGTAGTTAATCAGAAAACTGGGGGGGGGGGGTCTAGTAAGGATTTTTTTTCTGTTCTGGAAATAGTTTTATCAGATTAATTGCCTTGTGCTGTCAGTCTCAAGTTTATCTCCTTCTTTTTAAGTACTTTGGTGTTTTGCCTGCAAGTATATCTGCATGACAGTGTCAAATCCACTGGAACTAGAGTCTTAGAGAGTAGTCAGCTGCCATGTGGTGCTGGGAACTGAACCCAGGTCCTCTGGAAGAGCAGGCAGTGCTCTTAACTGCTCAGCCATCCCTCCAGTCCCTCTAGTATATTTTCTATCTCAGAATAGATGTTTGTGTTTACATTTGTGTATTTGTATATATACCTGTACACGTTAAGTGTGTACATGTGCATACTCAAGTGTGTACATGTGTATATTTAAGCCTGGGGGGAAATCTTAGCTGATCAAACATCTGAGGAAATTGGGCTAGAGAAAGCACATGACTGACATAAAGCCAGGGCTGTTATCACCCCCAGTCCTCTCTGTGCACCAGCTAAGGTGGGGCCCAGCTTTCTCCACATGTAAACTAAATCTTCAGAAAACCTTCATATCTTAACCTTCCACAATCCCCCCCCCCTGCCAAGAACCATGGTTTACAATGAGGTGCAAAGAGTCAACCTCAAGACCCAGATCTACAGGACTCAGTAGTCTTTTTTTTAACAATGGCTCTTGTAAAATCCAAGCCTCGTGAGAAAGTTGCTATAATATCATAGTACCTTTTGCTTGAAATTCAAACAAAGCTTTAATAACAGACTCCATGTGATTTTATAGGCAACCATTTAGCAGATTAATGAATCATTTAACTTTCTTTACTCAATATTCCACTTAGAAAGAATCCAAAAATGCAATCTCATTCTGACCAACGTAACTAAGTACAAATGAAGTAAGTCACTGGTGTACCTCAGTAGCATGCTGCGGTGTAAGTCAGTAAAACAAGCCCTCCCGCCCCAGCCCTGGCCCCTGGCAAACAGATAAATGATTGTGCACTGCGTGATGATACCTTTAGGTGAGAACTTTGGTTCATGCAGTTGGCTGCCACAGACGTTGCACCCAAACCCGCAGCCCTGGCACCCAAAGTCAGTCAGTGGTGGCAGCTGTCGGCGTCAGCCATGCTCCTTCCACAAGACCAGGTGAATACTGTGGTCAGGCATGCTCGTGGCGAAGACTAAGCCTGTGTCATTGTGCCCATCCAGTCCATTGAGCCAGGATGCTTCACCCGCCAGGAAGCTGGAGCCTCTCTTTGATTTCCTGTACTCTGGCAGAGGCCAGCGGCTAATTAGACTCTCTGTCCTCAAGTCCATAATGTACAGGTAGTGGTTGTCAAACAGCAGGGCAAAGACATCTCCAAAGCCAAGCAAGGCCAAGTTTGCTACCTCAGGTGTCTTGATGACCCTACAAGGAAGAGAGTTACAAATCATGAAGCAGAAGACAACTTTGCTGTAGACACTTGAAATCCTAAGCAAATTCAGAGCTAGTAAGAATTTTTGATAAAAAGGAAAAAGAAACTGTGAATCTGGCATGGTGGTGGATACCTTTAATCCCAGGCAGACGGATTTGAGTTTGAGACCAGCCTGGTCTACAGAGTGAGTTCCAGAACAGCTAAGGTTACAGAGAAACCATGCTTAGGGGAAAAAACAAAAAAACACCACCTGCCAGGATAATACTCCATGAAATTAATAAAAGAGTCAAAAGCTGGTTCTTGGTGTGAAAACTAGACCAGAACATGGATTAACCTGGACTGAAAATTGCAAAAAAACAAGAAACAAAACAAACAAAAAAACAACAACAAAAACCACTCCTGGAATATTCAAGAACAGCTTTTATCTAGTCAAGCTAAACATTCCATCTGGTCACTGATATTTTTGTATATAATAAAAAATGAAAAAAATTTTGCTAGTGTAATGGTACTGGGAGTTAAGCCACTGAAAGGTGGCCTATAATTAGTTATTGAACATTGGTCTTCCCTCTTCCTGGTCAGTCATTCCCATGACTATGGTTTAATGTTTCTGCTGCTTCCCGGTATTCATCAGAATGCCTGATTCACAGGCAGGTGTTCAATAAATACCTTGTAGGGAATAAAGCAGTGGTACAAAGAACACAGATAAACACAAGATTCCTGTAACAGACCAAAAGTAAATGGGATGGGGGGAGTTTGTTCCCAACATTAAAATACAGTGTTGAGAATATGAGAATAGAAATACAGGGTTTGACAGGCATGACTACTTAAGAAGTGCAGATAGAAATCCCTACTGGCAGTTTGGGCCCTAGGCTATTCAAGATTACTGCGATTCTCCAGCCAAAGTGCTCAGCATGTTGCCATTTGGGGTTTTTTAGTTCAAAAGTGAAAAGATCCTAGAACCCACAAGGCTACAAGGTTTGTGCTAGGATTTCAAAAAACGTTTCCTCTATTTGTTTTAGAGGTGCAAAAAGGCAGAGATAAAACTCTCCTTTCAGATTTAAACCTAGCAAATCTAGACTCTAGGACCCAGAGACACGGTTCTGGGCAGGAAGCAGTGAACCAGTGACTGACAGGTGTGTGTAGGTCGGAGAACCATGCCTACCGAGCAGTCTTCTACCTTCTGGGTTCAGGGGATCCAAGTCATGTGGTCACGCTTGGGAGAAAGTGCCTTTACTTACCCTGCTCGCACTGATTCTTTGTTTCTGTTTTTCTTTAGAGACAGGCATTCACATAGCTGACTTTCAAGTTCACTACACAGCTAAGGATTACTCTGAACTCCAGATTCTCCTGCTTACACCTCTCAAGTTATGAGATTCAGTTTCAGAGTTTCTTTCTTGCTTTTGGTGGCCCTGGCTTCTCAGTACACTAAGCTCACGCCTACTGGATAATACAGCCATGGCTGGATGAATGCTGGACTAGGAGATGTAGAATATAAGGCCCTTGCATTTTTAGGCTGCTTTTATCTTTTCCTCAAAGCATGATCACTCTAGAAATGATTGACAGCTCTGAAATCTAATTATTCTATGACTCAAACGAAAATGAGTTGTAGCTGAGACCAGAGAGCCAGAGTTTATCAAAATCATACTCATAGGCCTATAATCAGACCCCATATAAACTGATCTTGATTGTATTTGTCATAATAAAAATTTGTCAACTCTTATACTAGTTCCTCACCACAAACATTTCATTTATAAATGTGAAAACTGAGACACAGAATGAGAAATTTAGACAAAGCCTCACAGACCATAGGAGATAATACAGATCTTTGGCATGAGAGGTGCCAAAAATCCTAAGACTTTGGTGCCTAAATTCAAGTCTTTTTTTTTATAAGATTTATTTATTATGTATGCAATGTTCTTTCTGCATGTTTGCCTGCATACCAGAAGAAGGCACCAGATCTTATTACAGATGGTTGTGAGCCATCATGTGGTTGCTGGGAACTGAATTCAAGACCTCTGGTAGATCAACCAGTGCTCTTAACCACTTGGCTATCTTTCTAGCCCTCAAGTCTTTTATCAAAGTAAATTCTCTAATTTACCATACAGCACTCAAACATGCCAACAGTATTCATTGGGGCACAGAACTGCCATTGAAACTCTTATATAAAATTCTTTTGGTAGTAAATCAGGTTAACTAGTCGCTAGTCAGCAGAAGGCTGCTTACTGCCTAGGCCTCACTGGAGTCAGGACCAAACAATGCATAAGTTCAACTGATAATGAAGTCAAACTCAGAGACATTAGACCTGAAGGAGGTCAGAAAGGTCTTCTCATCTGCATCGCTCATTTTCCAGGAAAAGGTTTTGAATCCTGAAAGGGAAGGGGCTTATGATTCCGAGTAAGGGAGGGATTAGAATCTTGAGCTTTAGGTTTAAGCATATGATACTTTCTGACGTGCTTCTAAAACATTTGCCTAAGTGGAGCATTTGACATAGACAACCCAGTTAACTGATGCAGTACTTCCCAAAAGGAGATACTGGTGTGCACACCCAGATTTTCTCTTTACACTGCTGAGCTGGACAGACTTTCAAGGGGAGAGCACATGGCCCAAGGACACATTACCTGAGAATGTCGTAACTGGCAAAGTCCCACTGGTACAGACCAAGGGCTGAACTACAGACAATGTATTTCCCATCAAAATGAAGTCTTGGCTGCAGGCAGATACTTCTATCTTCAGAAACAGACAAAGTCTTCAAGCATTTACAGTTGATTTCTCTCCCAATTGGCCAAATCTACAAAAAAATAAAAAGGGAAGATGATTGGTCATATTAAACAAAAGCTAGTGCCCTAGGCTGTGGTAGTACACACCTTTAATCCCAGCTCTCTGGAGGCAGAGACAGGCGAGTCTCTATGAGTTCCAGGACAGCCAGGGCCCCGCGCGCAAACCCCCCCCCCCCCACGTACGTGTTTGCACAACATGACTTAAAAAAAAAGAGTGGCATCTGGTAACAGACACAAAGGAAATACAGGGTCAAGAGTCACAGGTTTAAGTCCTGATTTTATGTGATCCTAGGTAAAATAGTTAACCTCTCTGAATAATAATAATAATGCCTACCACAAAGGTGGTTTAAAGACGCATTAGAAGTGGAGTGTCAGACAGGCAATGGTGATGCAAACCTTTAATACCAGCACTTAGGAGGCAGAAGCAGAGAGGTCTCTGAGTTCGAGGCCAGCCTGGTCTACAGAATGAGTTCCAGGACAGCCAGGGCTACACAGAAACCCTGTCATGAAAAAACTGTTGGCAAATTGTTAAAACAAATCAATGTTTCTTTTTATAGTTTAGATCTAAGACTGAGGAAGGTAGGTGGTATGAGCCTTAAAAGAAGAGTCTTAGTGCTCAGGATGTTAAGGCAGGAGGATTGCAAGTTTGAGGTCAATCTGGGCTACATGGTTGAGCCCTCTCAAGATAACAAAATCAAACTCATCAATTTGGCTACATTAGATGGCCAGCAAGTCCCAGGAATCCTTTTTTTGTTTCTTCAAGACAGGGTTTCTTTGTGTACCCCTCTCTGTTCTGGCACTTGCTATATAGACCAGGCTGGCCTCGAACACAGTGATCCACCTGTCCCTGCCTCCAGGTGCTGGGATTAAAGGCGTGCACCACCATCTCCTGGCTTAAACGTGTGTGTGTATCTACACACCTATATGTGTGTATTTATTTACTTACTTTTTTATGATTTATTCATTTTTATATATGCAGTGTTCTGCCTACATGTATCCATGCAGGCCAGAAGAGGGCACCAGATCTCACTACAGATGGTTGTGGGCCACCATGTGGTTGCCAGCAATTACCTCTGGAAACGTGGCCAGTGCTCTCAACTTCTGAGCCATCTCTCTAGCCTCTATTTATTTTCAACCCAGAGATTTGTTTCTGTTTTTTGTTTTTTTTTGAAACAGGGTTTCTCTGTGGCTTTGGAGACTGTCCGGGAACTGGCTCTGTAGACCAGGCTGGCCTCGAACTCAGAGATCCGCCTGCCTGTCTCCCGAGTGTTGGGATTAAAGGCCTGCACCACCACCACCACCCGGCTTCAACCCAGAGATTTTCTTATCTCTGCCTCCTCACACCCGGATAACATTCCTGGCCTTTTTAATGGGTGTTGGAGATCTAAACTCAGGTATTGATTTTCACCAGCCTCTTGGCTGCCTGGCATATGAAGGATGAATCACACCATTTCTAATAGGTATAGTGACTTAAACTACGATCTCTCCCTGGCAATTAGCTCCCTTTGGCATACCTTTTTAGTTTTCCTTCTATGTTATTTTTTTCTTTGATGAGATAAATTATGGAGGGAGAAGACTTACCTTGATCTCATATTTATCCGCACTTAAGAGGATGTAGTCTCCAGGGCTGTGCAAGAGAGACTTGACTTTGCACTTCTGCAAAACCACCTACAAGCATAAGCATCTACATTACACAAAGAACTTAGCACTCCTGTCCTATACTAGTTTTATACTGTTTTTAAATTAAAATATGAAAATGAGCTTGCATTGACATGAGGAACATGTAGTGTGGAATTCTATTATTAGGCTAATTCTTAACATTTTACCACAACTAGATTCTGTTAACTGACTGTATCTCAATGTCCAGTGCTGGGAGCATTCACTCTTAGTTTTACTTGGAAGTGCTAACATCAGGGCTAATTCTTAAGATGGTGAGGTGCACACTTGGGATGTGGCTCAGTGGTGAATACTTGCCTACTATACTCAAAGCTCCAATTTGATCCCTGATACTGCATCCTCTTTATTCTTACTGCTGCTATTACATGCACGCACGCACGCACCCACGCACGACTTAAATGTAAGGAGCCAACTGTGATAGTGCAAGCCTTTAATCCCAGCATGTGGAAGGCAAAAACAGCAGATCTCTTACAGAGTGAGTCCATGTCAACTAGGGCTACCTGAAAAGACCCAGTCCTTAAAAATAAATAAACAAGGAACATACACCGTGCACACAGATGTGGACAGACACGGTCTGTTCATGAGCATGTGAGCCATATGACTCAGAATAAGGACCTGCGTCTGTCGCAGAGACCTGCTAACTGCAGCCATGGAGAAGACTGCAGCAGGTATGCTGTTCCTTAGTGCTGGAGACTGAACCAGAGCCTCCCACATGCTAAGTCAGCACCCTACCACTGCACTATACCAGACTCACTGTTTCTGTTTACTCACTTCATATAAGTGCGGAGAAGAGGAACTAGAATCATGCAAATAACAGTAACAGGAAAAGGCAAAGTTCATAGCACTTGGGGTCATCTGTTATTGTTAGGTCCTAGTATCTTTCAGTAGATCAGCACAAACGTTCAGAAGCCTGAGATACAGAAGCAGCTAAACCCAGCAGACCTGTTAACAGCCATCAGACAGACACCTCTGCTTGATGCTGCCCCAACACCTTATTTTATGTGTATAAGGATTTAGCTGATGACAGAGTTCTTCAGGTCATGAAGGGAGACTTGTCCACATCACAGGTATAATCGTGAGCCCACACCCACTAGGGTTGCCTGTTATATATTAGCTTTTCTGTTCCAACAAGTGAATGTGTCCAGCAGTTACCGATCTTCTCATAAACCGCCATGTCTTTTTTTTTTCTTGGGGGGCCGGGTTTCGAGACAGGGTTTCTCTGTGGCTTAGGAGGCTATCCTGGAACTCACTATGTAGACCAGGCTAGTCTTGAACTCAGAGGTCCACCTGCCTCTGCTGGGATTAAAGGAGTGCGCCACCGCCACCACCTGGCAAACTTCCCTACCTTTACTTTTACCTATTCAGAGAAAATTTTAGATTGCCCACTCAATATAAAACCTGGCAGGCATCTCTGAGTCTGTCCTCTTTCTAACCTACAATGAGTAATTTAGGTAACTTTATATTAAAAGATAGATCCTTCGTGCATTGCCACATAAACCCAAGCCACTGCATCTTTTTTTTTTTTTTTGGTTTTTCGAGACAGGGTTTCTCTGTATTATTTTGGAGGCTGTCCTGGAACTCACTCTGTAGACCAGGCTGGTCTCGAACTCACAGAGATCTGCCTGCCTCTGCCTCCCGAGTGCTGGGATTAAAGGCGTGCGCCACCAACGCCAGTCTGCCATTGCATCTTTTGCTTAAGCTAAACCTAACTGGGAATCTTGTAGCCACGGGTATGTATTTTCAAATCTATCGTCTTTCCACATTCAAACCGTGTTTCTCATACATAAATGATAGCAGACCTTAGATCCTAACTTCCAATGGCTTTTAGTGTCTACCAACCTTGCTATGGCACGCTAACTCTTCGGCCAGCTCTCATAATTACAGAATGGTTGCACTGGCCGCCTTTAGGTGCTTTCCTGTCCCTGAGCACATGCAAATATAAACCACACTCTGAAATGTTCTAACTGCTCTTTCCACAGCTATCTCCTAGTTCCCTTGTTTGGCCCTTCTCAAAAAACTTTTCCTAATTACTTCCTAGACTCTCTCATACCACACTATACTTCTTCACAGAACTAATCTGGAATTAAACAGCATTTATTTGTGAAATTACTAAGTACTAACCATTTCTATTAAATTAAAATCCATCATATTTAGCTAAGGTCTATTTTATTTACTCCTACATCCCCAGCCTCTTGGAAAAAGAGCATTAATAAGCTCAAGAATTGTGTCTCTTGTCAAGTTGTGGTAACAAATGCCTTTAATCCCAGCACTTGGGAGGCAGAGTCAGGTGGATCTCTGGGAGTTTGAGGTCAGTCTGGTCTTCAGAGTAAGTTCCAGAACTGCCAGGGCTATTACACAGAGAAACCCTGTCTCAAAAAACCAAATATAAAAAAAGTGCCTGCACAACATATCTATCACAATGCTGCATTTGAAACACACTTTATTTTGAGAATAAGAAAACATCACAACATTCTGTTAAAGGCTCATTTTTCTTCTTTGCTTTCTTTATATTTTTGTCATGATGGCACTTGATCTCACTGGGCTACACCCAGCCCCTCCCTATCTCATATTTCGCAAACACCACACTGTTTTGTTGTTGGTGATGCTGGTTTTGTTTACTCATTGTTCTTTTTTGGGGGCTGGAGAAGTGGCTACCTGTAGTCTTGAGGATCAAACCCAGAACCTCATGCTAGACAAGCATTCTACCTCTGAACTAGTTTGCAATACTCGCCTTTCAGATTTTCTTGTTTGTTTTTGAGATAGGGTTTCTCTGTGTATCCCAGGCTGTCCTGGAACTTGCTCTGTAGACCAGGCTGGCTTTGAACTCAGAGAGATCCTCCTGCTTTGCCTCTCAACTGCTGGGATTAAAGATGTGTGCTACTACTGCCCTGACACTTTTCAAAATGAAAATTATAGTTCTGAATAAAAGAAGGGTATCTTTATGTAGCCTAAGCTGCTGGCCTTGTGGACATGTAGATTACACCCAGATAATCTAACTGGTTTTTACATGGTGGTCACTATGGCATACCACCATGTTCTGACTGCATTTATTCTGTTGTGATTCATCTACAATATAAACAAGGCCTACCATCCTCCATTCCCCACCAGTGAGGAGCCAGACACCAAGGACATTTCCCTGGTCTTCCTACCTTGGTGACCCATTCAGTATGCCCAGTGAGTGTGTTCAGGCATGTCCCAGCAGATAAAGCCCATACTTTCACAGCGAAGTCCGCAGAGCCACTCACCAAAATATCCAGTTCATCACTGTAGTCCACACTGAACACTAGTGCACACAACACAGTCAAAGTTAAAACACTTCACTGTCAACGCATGTTTGTAAAAAATAACATTTATTCTCCTAGCTGTCTACATACATAACTTCCTAACCAGAGCACATTAAGAATTGAGCTATTGAAGCAGCAATTTTATGATACAAAGAAATCTATTTCAGGACTGTTGTCACAGTTTATCCTAAGGTTGAGAAAGCCTTGACTAACATGCTCTCTTCTGCTTCTGTCAGCTTCACATGGTAGAAAGATGCCATCTAGTTTGTGGGCAGACACCAGCAAAGGCGGCCCTTTTAAGATCTGCAGTGTGAAGAAAATAAACTGCAGAACACTCGGGCTCCAGAAACATCAGGGCAGACAAAAACAAGGGTCTCAGAGGCTGTACTTAGTCAACAGTGTCTAAAAGTCATATATCCAGCAACTACATTAGTTTAGGATGTGTACTGAATATTCAGTATTTGGTTTTAAATGTCTGCCAAACTCAAAAGCACACTAGGAACATAGAGGCAATGCTGACTCTTCCTTCAAGGAACCAAGGGACAAGCTGTTTTTTTAAAGGTTACCTCTTTGCTAGAGCAACCTTGAAGAGGATGACTACTCTGCCAGGGCTATCAGAGAGAACTTTAGAGAAGATGAAATCCTGGAGCTGGGACAAGAATACATGCAGCTTACTAAGAACATAAACAACACTCCAGGCAGAGGGTACAGGAAATGCATGGATTAAAAGCCACAGCAGGGTCAAGAAACAGCAGCACAACGTTTTTAGAGCAAGACCTTTCAAACTGGTAAGGAAGGACATCACCTAGAAGCTGTGGTATCTTTATGCCATGAAGTGTTACTCTGTTTAATGGACTGGGTCCACACTGTACCATAGACTTTTTTGTTTGTTTTTGAGACAGGATTTCTTTGTGTAGCCCTGGCTGTCTTACAACTTACTCTGTAGACCAGGCTGGAACTCACAGAGATCCACCTGCCTCTGCCTCTTAAGTGCTGGGATTAAAGGCGTGCGCCACCACAACCAGTTATAAACCATAGACTTCTAAGACAAATGAGAGCAGATTTAAAAAATTGTAAATATATAAGAATAGTTGACGGGTGCTTTTTAGTAGCAGAAGAGCTAGGTTTAGAGAAATACTAGCACCAATTACAACATAGGGAGCTCGGTATAAGAGTAAACAAGATAGGTAGAATCCCTGACCTATGGCGTTTAGGATTAAGAGGTAAGATAGTCACTATGATTATATGCATGACAGTCTAGTCTGCTCAGAAATATGACATTCTAAAACAGAAATCCCATTCATGTTAGCCCCAGGATGTTGCTTGTTTTACTTACTTAGCAGCCAAGTACTATTCTGTGTAGATACAATCCGTGAACTACCTTCTGCCCAAAGGTTTTTCAGCTCTAAATAAACGGAGTGGTCTGAATGTCTAAGTGTGACAGTATGGAATCCACTAAAAGCAAATGTGACTGACTGTGCAGGAAGGGAAATAAACTGGAAGAAGGACAGCTACTTCTTCCAGTATACAGGTACAAAAAGAGTGTTTTATTAAGGCTAAGGAAAAGCAAAATTGTGGAAAACATTCCAAATATAAGTAACTGAAATGCAGGGAAATAGCTGCAGCAGTTGAGAAAGAAGAGAAAAATCGCAGGTTAAAGCAAGCAAGAAAAAACAAACAAAAAAGTATTTGACTCAGGATTTTAAAAGGCATTGCTAAAGTAATTATAAAGACCCTCAAAAAAGAAGAACCCACCCGCCCCCGTGTGCCCCCGGAAATGCTGTGTCCTGGCTCCAGAACTCCATTCCCAGCAGGCCACGGTGTTGTCAAAGGAGCCTGTCACAAGCTTCTGTTCATCGAACTTCACAGCTGCACAGGTGTGGGTCTGGATGCCGTAAACACACTGCCCTGTGCTTACATCCCACAGCTTTGCAGACAAGTCATCTGACCCTTGAAGAGACAAATCAGGAAGGTTAGTGTGACCTAGACACCCTACAGGAGAAGCAGTCCACTAAAGAGGCTCTCTCCATAGTCCCCTCTGGGGTGCTTCTGCTTTAAGGCTAAAAAACCCAAAGCACAGACAATAATGTGATTTGTTGGGCCTCAAATGGCTTTAAATATACTAAGACAGAACCCAACCCTCTTGTCTTTTCCTCTTAATCTTCTAGGCTATAAAAGATATTAGATAAAGCATCTCTTTATGCTTCTACTTGCAACATTTCCGATCTTTGGTTATTAGCACTTTCAGATTTGGCTGGTTCATCTTACCTATGGCTGCATGTTTACACTTGAATGCTTGTCCACTCACTACCCAACAATTCTGAATAAATAAGGGCCGTTGACTAGGAAACCACAGTCCATTCTAAGACAAGATAAAGACAGGTCTCATGTCACTGGGTAACTTTTATAAAGGTCAACTGGTAATTCTTGAGCCATCTTGAAAATGCCAAGGAACCGCCGGGCGTTGGTGGCGCACGCCTTTAATCCCAGCACTCGGGAGGCAGAGGCAGGCGGATCTCTGAGAGTTCGAGGCCAGCCTGGTCTACAGAGCGAGTGCCAGGACAGCCTCCAAAACTACACAGAGAAACCCTGTCTCGAACAAAAACAACAGCAAAACAAAAAAACAACAACAACAAAAAGAAAATGCCAAGGAACCTCAGTAGATACCAGGGATAAATCACCTGCAGACATTCATATCAACTCACCAAGTGCTTACATTTGTAGGAAAAAAAGTTGGTTTTATTTCTGTCTGTAGGGAGTGGAGGAAGGCCTCAGTGTGAAAACTTCTGAATGAATATGTATTTTCACATGAGCAAGGTCTGTCAATGACTCCAAGACCAATTGGCCCATGGTAAATTGGCAAAACTGTTACACAGGGATGGCAAAGCTGCCCTTGGGAATATGAATATGAGTGTTTACAAATGACTGACCAATGTGTGCAGAGACTAAGAACTGCAGCCTCCCAGCTGTCTACAGTTAGAGACTGGCTACCTAAGATATCTCCTACTGAGACCAGGAAACCCTCCCTGATCCCAGCTTCACTGTGTTGTCTGTCTGCTCTTCAGGGTTTCCAGTCCCAAGTCACCTGGGACACAGCATGGCCTCTGATGAAAAGGTTATACTCATCATGGTGGTAATTCAGGACTGAGCTTTCATTAAGTCTGAAATCCCAGTTATTAAAATTCTGTCTCAAATCACTTTTAGAGGATCAACAAAAGACATTTTGAGAAATACTAAATATAGTTACTCAAACAAGACACTGTATTCTAGGAAAGCACCAACAAGTTGGTTTTCAAAGGCTGAAATGGAAGAAATGAGCATACAAAGACAAACTCCACACAAACAGGAGGCTAAAGCATTCTAGTTTAGAGTTGCAGAACTAAACCCTGTAGTCTCTAAGGTTGGTAGGCAGTTCTCCATCATCAGTAACACTCTTGAGAACCAGAGGTCCACAACAGTGTGCCAAATAAAAACCACACATAATCTGTCTTCTAATAGTTAACTTTAAAAAATGAAAACTGTATTTTATTTAATTCAGCTTGTCAAAAGTGTTAATACATGTAACAAAGTATCAAAAGGACACTCTTTGTTCTTTTATGTTCTAGGTCTTTTAATTCTGGTATTTCCCATTTCACACTTCCATCTGGACCAGCTATAGCTCAAGAACCCAACAGGGCTAGTGGATCCTCTCCAGCACAGCAGAGCACAGATTAGGATCCTTCCGATCCAATGCCAGGGCTTAACTGGTATTTCATTCAGTGAACATCTGTATGTGTCAGTCTCTCTCTCTCTCTCTCTCAGACAATTTTTCTTTTTTGGTCTGACTTGTTATGTCAAACAAGTCCTTTTTGTTTGTTTTTGCAAGACAGGGTTTCTCTGAGTATCAATGGCTGTCCTGTAACTTGCTCTGGAGACCACACTCAGAGATCTGCCTGTTTCTGCTTCCTGAGTGCTGGGATTACTTGTGTGTGTGCCACTACCACCTGGCCAAAAATTAAAAAAAAAAAAAAAAAAGACAGAAACACATATATAATTCTCTAACTTATTTTACCTGTGAAGTCTCAAACATGATGCCACTAGAAATTTCAAACTAACAAAAATCATAATTTTTAAATGCAAACCAGGTGAATTACAATAAAAATAATATATACCTATTTAGAAACTAACCTCTCAAAAATTATTTATTATGTAGTGTTCTGTCTGCGTGTATGCCTGCAGGCCAGAAGAGGGCACCAGATCTCAATATAGGTGGTTGTGAGCCACCGTGTGGTTGCTGGTTGTGGTTGAACTCAGGACCTCTGTAAGAGCAGCTGGTGCTCTCAACCTCTGAGCCATCTCTAGAAACTAATCTTAAAATGTAGGGCTTGGGGGCTGAATGTGGCTTAGTGGTGGAGTGCATGCATAGGCCCTAGATTTCTTTTTCGTCTTTTTTTTTTTTAAGATTTATTTTATTGTGTATACACTGTTCTACTTGCATGCCAGAAGAGGATGCCAGATATCATTACAGATGGTTGTGACTACCATGTGGATTTAACTCAGGACCTCTGAAAGAACAGCCAGTGCTCTTAACTGCTGAGCCATCTCTCCAGCCTGGCCCTGGATCTCTTTTTGCCAGCACCAAAAACAACCAAAAATGCAGTTTGGGTCCATTAACAAATATTAACTTTATAAGTAACCAGGACTTGAAGATTATTTCCTATTTACTTTTTTAACATATAATTGAGGGTTTTTTTCCCCTCCTTTTTCTTGTTTGTATGTGTACGTATGTTTGCATATGGAGACCTTGGGGGAAACATCCAGAATCTTTATCACTCTCCACCTTTATTCCTTATAAGGCAGTCAGTGTCTCTCAGTCAAACTAGGTCTGGGTGATGGTGGCAGATGCCTTTAATCCCAGCACTCAGGTGGCAGAGGTAGACAGATCTCTGAGTTCAAGGCCAGCCTGGTCTACAGAGTGAGTTCTGGGACAGCCATGTCTCAAAAAGCCAAAACAGAAAGGTGATCATGAAGATAATGAGCCCAGTGCCAATACTTAAGGAGTGCCAAGTCAATACCATATTTTTTTTTTTTGTTTCTGTTTTTCGAGGCAGGGTTTGGAGTCTGTCCTGGAACTAGCTCTTGTAGACCAGGCTGGTCTCGAAGTCACAGAGATCCGACTGCTTTTGCCTCCCGAATGCTGGGATTAAAGGCGTGCGGTGCCACCACCAGGCTTTAATACCATATCTCAATCTTAAAAAAAAAAAAAAGAGGCTAGACATCAATGCACAGAAAAATGGCTGATAATGTTCCAATAATCAGACTTACAGGGAAAATAGAAAGCATGAAGCAAGTTCAGGGTGACAAACCAAACCATGAAATGCCTTAATCAAATGACTAATCAAACTGGAAAAGTGCCTGTCATTTCAGAGAATAAGTCACCACATGGAAAAATATGTGTTCTATATAGAAATGCAGTTTAAAAATAATCTTGAGAAGTTACTTATCTCTTAACTATTAAAGATACTGAGATTGATTCTGGAGAGACTGAAAGCATATTATTTATGGCTGCTTCAGCTTCTGTCCCAAAGTAAGTAATCCAAGCAGGGGAGGGAAATGCAAACAAATATTTATAAAACAGAAACCTGAACACATACTAACATATAGCCACATGATATATTTATTCAAAAGATGAACTAATGCATATTAAAAGTGAAAATTATATAGTTTTGGCACTCCAGGAATATTTGTTAAAAAATAACCTGTCCAAATAGGCATTAATTAAGACTGCTGGTAAGAACCAGAAGCAGAGCTGAAGACAAGGCTCTTGCAGAGGACCCTAGTTCAGTTCCCAGATCTATCTCAGGGACCTGATGCCCACTCTGGCCTCTGCAGGAGCATCAACTTATGTGTAAGTACCCAAACTCAGACATGTGCATAAATACATAATTAAAAAGTAAAACAAAGCAAAACAAAACAAAACTGGGGGCTTAAAAGATGGCTTAGTTGTTAAGAGCAATGACTGCTCTTCCAGAGATTTTGAATTCCATGATGGCTCACAACTGTCTACAACTTTAATCCCATGATTTGATGCCTTCTTCTGGTGTGCAGACAAATACTCATGTAAATAAATCCAACAACAACACAAACAAAAAACTCCTAGAACCATTCTACACATAGCCTAGGAAGGAATTACATTACCATCAAAATGTGTCGCCTAAATGTGGACACATATCAAAACCATTTGTGGAAACACACCTCCATTATCTTTTTCTCCCCTCAAGACAGGGTTTCTCTATGTAACAGTCCTGGCTGTCCTAGAACTAGCTCGGTAGTCCAGGCTGGCCTAGAACTCACAGAGATTCACCTGCCTCTGCCTCCCAAGTGCTGGGATTAAAGATGTGCATCACCACTGCCCCGCTTATAATGCTATAGTAACACCAAATTTAAAACTTTAGCAATTGTATATATAATGTATATAGGTGCATTGTCATGTGCTTTAGCTTGTTAAAAGTATACTCCAAGAGTGAGGGCTCCTCTGTTCCATACTCCAGTGTGGCGGTGTGAATGAGAATGACCCCATAGGCTCATATGATTGAATACTTGGTCCCCAGTTGGTGGCATTGTTTGGGAAGGTCTAGGTGTGGTCTTGTTGGAAGAATTGTGTCACTGGGAGGTTTCAAAAGCCCATGCCATTCTCAGTTAGCTTTCTCTGTTTCATGTTCTCAGCTACTGCTCCAACAACATTCCTGCCTACCCGCCCCCCCCCCCCCATTGGCTGTGCTTGTGGTCATGGTCATGGACTCTGGACCCATAAGCTCCAAATTAAATTCTTTCTCTTATAAGTTGCTTTAGCCATGTTGTCTTATCATAGCAAAAGAAAAGCAACAAAGATATCCAGCAGATATATTTCAAGTACCTTCTAAGGCACCTTGTCCAAGAACAAGTTGACCCCTGGTTCTATAACTGGTAGAAAAAAAAAAAAGACAACAAGCAGCTAAGTGTTTTTAAACACCATATTCTTCAGAACAGCTAGAAGGCACATTATTCCCATAGGTTACTGCTGTTTATCCCATAATGCAAAAATGCCTACTTCAGGCAGCTGTGATACACGCCTTTAATCCCAGCAATTGGGAGGCAGAGGCAGGCAGATCTCTGTGAGTTCAAGGCCAGCATGGTCTATAGAACAGGCCAGCTTCCAAAGATAACAGAGAAACCCTATCTCGAAAAAACAACAGCAAAAAACAAAACCAACCAACCAAAAAATGCCTATAGTAGGAACGGGAAGGCTTACCAGTCAGGGAAGTTTATCCAAGAGAGAAAACACGAGGAATACAAAGGATTGTCTCAACTTTCCCAGTCAGTTGGGATGCTGTTAGCGCCCAATCGTATGTCATCTGCTATTTATTTGGAAGTCTCACTCTATAGGACTCTTCCACTTGGAAAAGTCAGCTGGCTGCCTGGGGTGAGGGGGGTAGTGGCTGACTTCTCCGGTTGATTTCTGCTGAAGGTTTGGAAGTCCCAAACTCGATAGTGTTATCTTGTGTTTGTTCTCCCAGTCATCTCTGCTAGACACCTGAAGTGCTCAGGCTGATGGTGTTTGGTTATCTGTTGTTTCATTAACTGATTGCTATTTATTCTCTAACCTTTTGCTTGCAATAGACTTAATAAGCTCATTCAAAACTGAAAGCACTGCTATGGTAGGTCATTCTTTGTGGACTGTCAGAACAGTGTGTCAGTCACTTAAATGCCCAGTTTAAAAACCATCCAGCTGCCTTTGTCTCCATGTCCAAACTGTCAGCACCCAGTTCTTAGGATCACAGGATTTTAGAGCATGGAAGGAACTCATCCCTTCCCATTATTTTAAAGATACGGAAATAAATACAGGTTAAATAATTCACCTAAAATGTTCTTGCCAGACCTATTTTTTTAAATAATAAGACACAAAATTAACAAACATGGAAGAAAAGTGTAAGAATTAGCCTACACCTTTCTGATTCACATTACACTTTAAAGACTGAATAAATCCGTATAAAAATGACTCTTCTCCAAAGGGAAGAAGAGCATGAGGAGTGGAGACAACTGCTCAGAGGAAAGCGCCACTACAAATGCCCCGTATAACCAACACTTGCTCTTCTCAAGAGGGAGCGAGCTTACAGGGATCAGTCTTCTAAGTCAGTAGAGAAGGAACCCTAACCCTCCCTGGGACTTGCCCAGGCCCTTACCTGTGCAGAGAAGTCCGTCTCTGTAGTAAAGTGCATACACTCTGGCACTATGTCCAATTAGTGATGAGGTCTCAAAGGCTTCGTGGTCCTCCAGCTGCTTCATCCTCAAGATAGCCTTCAAGTAAACCTTCTTCCAGTGCAGTGCGTCCTGAACAGAATCATCTATCTGCCAGCCCAAATTTTTACAGGCAGTCTGCCACACCTCTGTGCAGGCACTTATCACCTTATTCCACTGCTTAGAGACCAGGCAGCATGTGAGTAAAGTTTGAGGATCGAGCCATTTTAACAAATAAAAACTGAGCTCCAGGGGAAGGAGTTTGAGGAAGTCCCGCTTGAGGAGAGTCTCCAGGTTATTGGAGAGGTGCCTGAGCTGGACTGCCCCACTCAGACTAATCAGGTGGTCCAGAGTTTCATTTTTCTGCAAGTCCGTCAGAGAAAGAAATGTAACAGAAATGTTATCAAGCCATGTCTCAAAGTCCTTTCTCTCCATAAGGTTATGGAAATATTTACCTGTGGCACATCAAAATATTGTATTAGTTCTGTTCAAAACATTGTTCAAGCAAGACTGCTAATAAATGAAGTATTAAAAATTAGTGTAAAATAGCATTACAATTTTATGCTTAGTTACTTTATAGTTAATAAACTACACTGAATGTTTCCATCCACACAAAAGGAAATGCATCTAGGAAAACATTTTAACAAACTGTGAAACAGTAAATGTCAGAGGAACTTATGTCAGTGTGTGACTTGCTCCTTTTGAAGTCTAATACATGCCACACGCATCGTCACCAAAAAAGATTTACAGAACATCCATAAGAATGTATTCTACTCTGCATACAACCCTCCATCCAATCCATTACAAAACTACTTCCTCACTAAATTCCTTACTAAATACCTTTATTTGGGAATAAAATCACAATAATAGCAAATCTCTGGAGCTGTGACCTGTGCATTAGTTATGCTGGGTACAACCTGATCTGCTACTCAAAAATGACAAAATGAATGACTTGGTTTTACAACAGATGCTAAAGCAGAGAGACGTGAAGAAAGAAATAAACATGCAGTAAGCTTTGTGCAGCAGGTCTTCTAGTGCACCATTCCCTCAGCACTGCCTGCCGAACATGGGTTACTGGAGGCCTTACACAGCTTACTTTAGAAGCCTTACCATGTCCCTAGAGAACCATGAGGGCCCTTGCAGCCTACAACACAAAGCGGAATTAATAATCCCCATAGTGCTGGGCACAGTGGAACATGCCTGCAATCCTAGCCACTCAGAGGCTGCCCTAAAAGTCATTAAGTTGGAGACCAGGCCGGGCAATATGGCAAGACCATAGCAAAAAATAATCATCTGGACACTCACAAAAAACAAAAACAAAAAAACACATGTCATTTACACTTTACAAATGAAGACTCTACAGGTGCAAGAAGCTAGGTCACAAAGCTAGTGAAATGGCAGGACAGAGGAGACCTGTGTTTTCAAGATCAGTGCAGCAGCTGGGGGAGTGGGTGTGGAACCCAGCTCTCAAGGGACAGAGGCAGGTGGATCTCTGTGACTAGAGGCCAGCCTGATCTACCAGAGTGAGTTCCAGGACAGCCAGGGCTACACAGAGAAACCCTGTCTTGAAAAAAACATAAGTAAATAAATTAATAATAATAATGAGAATTAAACTAATGGAAAGAAAAAAATACCAATTTAAAAAATGATCTGTTCTGTGTTGATTTTAATATTGGGTAACAGGTTCATGGGAACCTAGTTTGATTTTTACTATGTTCAGACAGTTTCACGGCTTATGGGGGGAGGAGTTCTTCTGATTTCCTACAAGATTGTCACTTAATTTAAAAAAAATTAAAGTTCAATCTGGAAGAAAATAAATTTCTTTCCTGACATGTTACCTAGGTTAGATCTATAAAAAGTTAGTCCTGTCTTCCATCTTTGTTAGTTCCCAGTATGTAATTTGGCAAGACTGTGTGACACAAAGCTGTGTGTTAGCAGAAGCAACAGAATGTTTCAATCAGTCCTCTCTAGCTAACAGCCTGGGCGTCTGAAGACTACTCCAAGTCAGGGGTCTGGTTCTACAGGGAATACTCATTTATAGGAAAGGCCCAGTTCTTCATCTGCTAAAAAATAAGCAGCTCACATGGTCTCATCAACTCATCTCAAAAAATAAGCTTCCTCTGTCTGATCCCTAGCACAATCCCTCTGCAACACACCCAGAAAATCCTACCCTTAAGAACAATTAGTTACAAGACCAAGCCATTGGTTTCTGTGGGCATCGTAGCTATTGAACATTGGATTTTCACTGAGTCCCTGTCCCCTTGAGTACCAGAATAACAGATGTGTGCCACAAAGCCTGTGTAAAATCATTTGACTACTCAGAGCATACTACTAAAACTCACCAACTTTTACTTTTCTAAAAGAACCAACTAATTTTGGAGGGAAGTTCCTTAAAGCCACAGGTCTAAATTGAGCTTGTTCACATAGCCTCTAGGAATAATGCCATGTACTGGCAGCACAAGGTCCCCAGGGAAGCCTCAGGAAATGGGATTTCAATTCAACAGGAGGTGCTTTAATTCATCACAACATTCTTGCCAACAGTGGAACAGCTAACTACAGAATGGAGCTTCCCATTAGCGTGAAGAGACAGGACCGATGGATACTGAGAGCGGGATAAATGAAAAGAGCTAGACCAGCCAGTTTTGTTTTCTTTAAAAAAGCTGATTCAGTCACTTCCTGTGTGATCATGGGAATGCTCAACTAATGTCTATGTTCCCATTTGTAAAACAGAAGGTACTGTCCCAACTTCAGCAGCATGAGAATCAGAAATGAAGCAGAGACATGTCCAACAGTAACTTCAGTTCCATTACTATAAATGCCTGGCAGGGCTCCTGTATGTAGTCCGAGGCTGGAATGGACATGACTAACCTCAGTCCTATAATGTTATCACAGTTTCCTTCATATCTAGAAGAAAAACGCAAGAGCTCAGGCTAATTCCACAACGGAAGGCAGTTACTGACCAAGGCTCTAATGCCTCCTAGGTGCTTGCTCCTCTCTGTGCACACACACCCCTTGCTATCTTGCTTCTCTCGCCTTTCTCAATGCAAACTTGTTCTCCAGCCCTTAACAGAAACAACCACAAAGATCTGAGGAAATGTGTAGTATGAGAAAAACAGTCCTAAAGTGGGAGGTGGGAGCCTGAATTTGATCTATACCTCTAAGCAATTACATTTATGTTGGTCTTAATGACTAAAGCAGTGCCTGTGAGTATCCTTTGATTTTAGCCTGGGTCACAGAAAATGTAAGTACTACTGCCCTTACTAGCAAAGAATCTATGGCCCAGAGTTCTATAGGAAGCAGCAGCTCAATATTACCCAGTCTCCACCTCCCAAGGCAGAAACGTCTAACCTCTGAACTGTTTTACAGGAAAAACATTGTGGGTGCAAAGTTTAAATATTTCCTCTTCTTCTACTCTGCCATAACCTGTGCAGGTAAGGAATAAAAGATTCGGGCCCATGACAAGACTCAGTGGGTAAAAAGGTTTGTTGCAAAAACTAATGACCTGATCCCCAAAACCTATGTATGGTGGTATGAAAGAAAATGGCCCCCAAAGGGAGGGGCATAATTAGGAGGTGTGGCTTTGTTGGAGGAAGTGTGTCACTGTGGGGTCAGTCATCGAGTGTGACAGCCAAGTCAATTTTCTGTTGCAAGATACATCTCAGCTACTCCAGCATGTCTGCCAGCACTCCGCCATGATAATGTACTGAACCTCTGAAACTGTAAGCGAGCCCACCCCAAAATGTTTTCACTTATAAGAGCTGTCACAATCATGATGTCTCTTCACAGCAATAAAAATCAAACTAAGAAGTTACTACCAGGGAGTGGGATATTTCTGTGATAGGCCTGACCATGTGTTTGTTTGTTTGTTTGGAGGAGTTTGGACTTTGGTACTTTGGGTTTGGAAAGCAATGAACTCTTTAAACACTGCTTAATGGGCCATATAGTAGGAACATGGAAGACAGTGGTGCTGAGAGTTATTTGAATTATGGGGGGTGGGGGCAGGGTGGGCTCACTCAAGAGGTTTCAGAGGAGAAATTTAGTTTGTTATCTAGAGACTGCTCTTGTGACATTTTGGTGAAGAAAGTAGCTGCTTTTTGCCCTTGTCTGAAGTCTGCCTGAGGCTAAAATGAAGAGTTTTGGATTAATTCCATTGGCAGAAGAAATCTCAAACAGCCTAGTATAGGCTCTGTTTTGTATTAACTGTAATGAAAATACATAATGAAAAGGAGCAAGTTGAGCAAGGAAAAATATTCGATGAGAAAAAGGATACTAGGAAGTAGTCATGATAAACAGAGTTGGAGATCTGAAGAGCATTTCAACATCAGACATGAAGATGCAGTTTGGAGTTTGCCCAGCTGGTTTTCAGTCTTTCTTTAGTCTGGTATTTCCTCACTATGCTCCCTTCCCTGTGTTTTGGGATGATAATGTATATCCTGTGGTATATTAGAAGTATGTGATCTGTTTTTTGATTTTATAGGGGATTACAGTAAAGAGATTGCCATGCATCTCAGAAGACACTTTGGACTCTGAAACAAGTTTGGGTCTGTTATAGACTGTGGGGACATTGGAAGGTGGACTGAATGCATTTTGCATTAATATATAGCTATAAACCTTGGGGGCCAGGGAGTGGAATGTAGTTGTTTGAAAGAAAATGGTCCCAGACCGGGCAGTGGTGGTGCACGCCTTTAATCCCAGCACTAGGGAGGCAGAGGCAGGTGGATCTCAGTGAGTTCAAGACCAGCCTGGTCTACAAGAGCTAGTTCCAGGATAGCCTCCAAAGCCACAGAGAAACCCTGTCTCAAAAAAACAAAAACAAACAAACAACAAATTGGTCCCCAAGGGGAGGGGCACTATTAGGAGGTGTGACCTTGTTGGAGGAAGTGTGTGTGTGTGGGGGGGGGCTCTGCGCTACTTTTTGCTCAAGCTTCCCTCAGTGAGTCAACTTCTTGCCTGCAAGATGTAGGACTCTCAGCTACTCTAGTACATCTGCCTGCACTCTACCATGTTCCTCCTCATGATAGTGGACAGAGCCTCTGAAACTGTAACTAAACCTCCTCAATTAAATGTATTTATTTTTAAGAGCTGTCATGGTCATGGTATCTCTTCACAGCAATAAAAATCAAACTAAGACACTTTGTAAAGCTGGAAGGCAAAAACTGACCCCATAAAATTGTTCTTTGGCTTACACACTCACACACGAACTCAAGCATACACACACACCAAACACAAAAACATAATTTTTTAAAGAATTAAAGGTAGATATTTGTTGTTGTTGGAAAGGTTAGTTCCTTACCCCACCATTTCCTACCAAGTACAACCAGCTAAGCAGAGGCAGGCCAGGCATGGTGGCACACATCCTTTAATCTGAGTACTAAGAGACAGAGGCAGGGGAATCTTTCCGTTTGAAGCCAGCCTGGTCTACATAGGGAGTTCCAGTCAGAGCTATGTAGAGAGGTCCTGTCTCAAAAAACCAAAAAGGAAAAAAGAATCAGATGCTTTGAATACATGTGCATAGAGGCTTATATGTACATAAAAATATTTTCTGAGTATTCAGGAAACGGACTAAACAGGTTACTTCCAGAGAGAATGAGAAAGCAAGTAAAATGGATGAGCTCCCTTTTAAATATGAAAGCCTTTTGTATTTAAAACATGTGAATACACTATTTTAAAAATATTTTCCTCTCATTGCTCGAGGAATTTAGAAAATTGCTTTAATTTTCTTTTTTTTTTCTTTTTTGGTTTTTCGAGACAGGGTTTCTCTGTGGCTTTGGAGGCTGTCCTGGAACTAGCTCTTGTAGACCAGGCTGGCCTCGAACTCACAGAGATCCGCCTGCCTCTGCCTCCCAAGTGCTGGGATTAAAGGCGTGCGCCACCAACGCCCGGCTTAATTTTCTTTTTTAGTTAGTTTTTGTTTTTTGAGACAGGGTTTCTCTGTGTAGCTTTGGAGCCTATCCTGGCACTCGCTCAGTAAACCAGGCTGGCCTCGAACTCAGAGATCCTCCTGCCTCTGCCTCCCTAGTGCTGGGATTAAAGGCATGCGCCACCAATGCCCAGCTTTTGTTTGTTTTTTGAGACAGGTTTTTGCAATGCTGCCAAGGCTGGTCTCCAATCCGCAATTCTCCTGCCTCAGCTGCCTGAGTGTTGAGACTACTGGAGTCAACAGCCACCCATGGCCTAAAAGCCCCTAGTTTGCAGGTTATTTTTTTTAAAGCTTTGAAAAAACTCAAATAATATTCATAAAAAACGGGCTCTGAAATTTCACTTATTGGATAACCATTGGCAAATCACGTCCTGCATTCAAGCATATTTCCTCACTTGTAAACTGTAGCCTGGTACTGTTTTACCTACAGGAGTTTGTGAGGATTAAGCAGGATAAAGCGTTCTTCACAGTATCTGGCACACTATAAACCTACAATAAATGCCAGTTACTGTTACTATGTAGTACGAATACAGTTATCTCGGCTTCTTTTTTCTTTTCTAAGCAGCATCCCAAATACACACCTGTTTTCAAAGCATACCCACAAGTATGGTGCCTTCCTACACGCTCTACAACGTTCTGTATCTTACAAACCACCTGTCCGCACTTCATCTTTCATCAAACAGGTAGTCTTGGGGCATCAATGTTAATTCATTTCGCAGCTCGGGAAACCGAGGCATCAGAAGACAGGAACTCTTAGATCTAATTTTCCTGTTTCTAAAATGAACTCCGAATCCCTCAGCCCGCTCACGACTCCCTTGGTCCCCTGCTCCCGGGGCCGTGTTCCGCGCGGCACTGACCTGAGCGAGCGCCCCGGGGCCCGGGACCTCGCGCCGGGCTCACACCGACTAGGCGCGCTCGGGCCGCCAGAGCGTCGCAGCGGCCGGGTCCGCTCCGCAGCCATGGCGCCTGCGGGGAGAGGGAGAAGACAGGCCGACGCGGCGGGTCAGCAACGCCGCCGGCGCCCAGGATCCCTGCCCGATCAATCCCGCCCGGCCCAGAGCCCACACAGACCTGGACCTGCGGCCGCGGCTCTGGGCTGCAGCCTCACAGGGGAGCGGCTTCCGGTGCTGCTTGCGTCATCTCCGCGCGTCCCTCCCGGCACCCAGCGCCCAGCTCCAGGCGGAAACGGTTGTACTTCCGGCCCCCGCCCACCCGGAAGATGGGAAAGAATGGTCGGGCCTGTGGAGAGGGGCAGAGTGTACCCTGCCACCTGTCCTGGACGAAAGCGTCGTCTCAAGGCGGCTGTCCAGATTTTCACGGGAGTAATTTTTCGCCGGGGACTAAAGCTACCAATTAAGATGTATCTAAATTCAGACAACCCGTTAACACTTGATACATCCCAAACACGATTCTGGCACGGAAGGACAAATTCCTAACCGCGTGAGGTCTACATCTAGCCGTAGGGGAAAGACAGCATAAGCAACCAAGCAAGCTATGTGGAAAGGAGCAAGTGAGGTAGGCATGAATCCCAACATATGCACTCTGTGCCCAAATAGCAGGCACTCGACCATGGAGACAGCTGTTCTCTGTAACACCTAAGTTACTTTGTGGGAGCCTAAGTTACATTTTAAGTTTTTTTGTTTTGTTTTGTTTTTCGAGACAGGGTTTCTCTGTATTGCTTTGGAGTGGAGGTTGTCCTGGAACTCGCTCTGTAGACCAGGCTGGCCTCGAACTCACAGAGACCCTCCTGCCTCTGCCTTCCGAGTGCTGGGATTAAAGGCATGCACCACCAACGCCTGGCACATTTTAAGTTTTAAGCCCTTGTAAAATTTGGTTCTGGACCGTTTCCTGGAAAACCGGGTATGGACCTGGTCAGATCACACACACCTGGCCAATATTTAATTGAAGTTTCAACTGTGGTGGTCTTATTCTTGAGTGGTGGGATTAACAATGTATCAGTAGACTGGCATCCTTTTGCTGTCTCCAGACAGAAACCATGGTAAGCAAGGAGAAGCTCTTCAGTGCTACTATGTGGTAGCTATTTTTTGTTGTTACTGTTTTTCCAGACAGGGTTTCTCTGTGTAGCTCTGCCTGTCCTGGAACTCCCTCTGTAGACCAAGCTGGCCTTGAACTGAGATCAACCTGCCTCTGTCTCTTGAGTGCTGGGTTAAAGGGGTGTGCCACCACTGCCTGGCTTTTTTTTTTTTTTTTTTTTTTTTTTGGAAAGCTTTTTTTCCCTTGCTGTTTGACAGCAGCAATCAGGACAAGAGCAGGACGGGGAGGAGGGGTGCCCTCAGTCTTTGTACGTGCAGGGCTCCAGTCGGCCTAGGCATGGCGAGCACGGCTCTGGCAGGCCTTGTCCTTGCCCCATTCCCTCTGCCTTGCTACACTATTAGTTACATTCCTAAAGCTACCACCAAGGTCTTTCTTTATTTGGCCACTTCCTCCTCCTGGGGCTGACTAACAATGTCCAGCTATCAAAATTATTAAAGTCCAGCAATCAAAAGTCCTCTTTGAGCCGGGCACACGCCTTTAATCCCAGCACTCGGGAGGCAGAGGCAGGCGGATCTCTGTGAGTTCGAGGCCAGCCTGGTCTACAAAGTGAGTTCCACGACAGCCTCCAAAGCTGTCTCGAAAAAGCAAACAAACAAAAAAACAAAAACAAACAAACAAACAAACAAAAGTCCCCTTTGGCTCACCTAATTAACATGCCCAATCAAAACAAACCAGCTAACCCTAACGAAGGGTTTCCCTTTATAAACTGCCATTTGCCTATGAGCCATGCCTGTCCCCTCTGTGCAGAAGCAGTCCTTTACTCCCCCCCATGGCAATAGCCCTCCCCCCTTGTTCCCTTCACTTTGTTCCTCATCCTCTGTCTCCTGTCTTTGCTGCCCTCTGTCCCTCTGGAGCAAGTAAGTTTTCTTTGTGCTGAGAACTTGATCTTGTGGTACCTGGTTCTAGTCCTTTAAAAAATAGGCTTTGAGTGTCTGGACCCTTAGCTCTACCTTTCAATAGGCCTTGTCAAGGTTTGCCACCGAGCAAATGCCACAGGTAGTAGTTAGCACAAGAGGTTTATTTGGAGAGGGGGACAGCGAAAGGCGTGTCAGAGTGGGGACATGAGAGAGGCAGGCAGACAGACAGACAGAAAAGAGGAAGGAAAGAGGCAGGAGAGGAGCAAGAGAGGAGAGAGGAGGCGCGAGAGAGCTGTGCCTGGCCAGCATGTCTAAAGGGAGCCCCCCCCAACAGTTGATGGCATACTGCTTTGGCGACAGAGGCAGGCTGCCGCCCTAGCAGAAACCAACAAGCTCTCTGTCCTCTGTTGTCATCTATTTCTCCTGTCCGTCCTCCTTTCCTGACCAGCGTGAAACTTCCCTGCTGCTGCTCCCTCAGCTGTCAAACAGCTTGCCACTTTGTAGGCGTTCCACGCTGACCATGTTAAACCTGCGATTCACACGAGAAAAACCAGTTCCACAATTTGGAGTCAAATTTGAAGTAAGCTTTAATTAAATACTGGTCAGAATGATGGACTGTGGTCAGGTCCATTTCAGGGTCCTCAGGAAATGGCCACCAGTCACTTTTTGCAGAGGCTTAAAAAGGCAAAAAACAAAAACAAAACAAAACAAAAAAACCCCACAGGGCTAACTATTTCCCATCAGGTCCTCAGAGGCAAGCATATATCTTGCCATATTTTCTGCCTATATATCTCCTGCCAACAACCAATGAAGCACATGAGGTGCAAATGAACTTATTTAGGGGAGTGAAGATATGCAGCTTGTTAATTCCTGAGAACCGCAGTGCCCAGCATTCGGGACAGCTACATGTTCTTGGACAAATGGGGTTTCCTGGTTAACATTGGCTCTTCAAACCACGAGGCTCTTGTTGCCACGACTGGTTTTCCTGCTTCTACCGTCACCTCTTCTCCAATGTCTTTTTATGTTACCAGCTCAGCCCACACTAGCGAAAGTTGACAAGAACGGTGGCAAGAAGAGCCTTTTACTGGGCTCAGTGTTGCAACATGAGGGTGGAGGGCACCAGAGACTGTCTCCCGGATGACACCCCGAGTGAGTCTGAGCAGTCTGAGTACATGGCCGAGAAGGGTCTGTATAAGGCAGTCATGGCCACATCTGGTGTAGGTAGAAATAGTCACACGGCCGTCTAAGTTCACTAATACTTGTGATAGCCAGACATCTGGTACAAACTGCTTCATACAACCCTGAATGGGGTTGTACTCTCAGTAGCTGGGCCTCTCAGCTGCAATTGTGCACTTTTATCAAGACATTCTCCAAGCGTTCTAGACAGCTGGTGCTAGCATGAGGGTAGTATAGCTTGACTCTTTGAAAGTCCCTTTGCTTGAGGCAGGGAGGGCACAAGACAGAAGCTAGCAGTTGTTGGAGAGTTCTGACAGGCCCCAGCCTGGCAAACACGGTGCCAGCCGGCCTTGTCCTCCCCACTTCCCTCTCCCTTGCTCAGCCGGTGGAGTCCCTTATTCAAACACTTTCACATTTCTAAAGCTAGCCACCAAGGTCTGCTCACTTACTTGACCACTCCCTTATGCCCACTCATTCCTGAGGCTGATCACCAAGGTCCAACTACCAAAACACCAAAATCCAGCAGTTCAAATTCATAATTGGTTGCACCGACTAGCCTGTTGTCAGGACTTCTCAACTCAATCTAGCAGACTTCCGCTTTTCTCCTTAAAAACCACTCCTGTAGAGCCACTGGCTGCTGCTGTCTTAACCCTCTCGCTTGCATGTGTGCTCGACCCTCTTGTTGTGGAATATTCCTTTACACTGTGTGAAGTTACGTCGCTGGGGTTAGTTTAATGAAAAGTTAATGGCTAATAGCTAGGCAAGAGGTATAGCAGGGACTTCTGGACAGAGAGAGCTCTGGGAAAAAGAAAGGTGGTGTCCCCAGCCAGATGTTGAGAAGGCAGCATGGGCAGTACAGAGTAAAGGCAACCAAGCCTCGTTAAAAATGTAGATTAAAAGATATGAGTTAATTTAAATTATGAGCTAATGGGACAAGCCTTATAATTGATAAGAAGTCTCTGTGTTATTATTTGCGAGCTGGCAGTCCTGACCAAAAGAAAGTTCAACTACAGATGGCACCCAATGTGCCTTTAATCTCAACACTTGAGAGTCAGAGGCAGGTGGATCTCTGAGTTTGAGGCCAGCCTGGTCTACAGATAAAGTTCTAGGACAGCGAGGGCTGCACAGAGAAACGCTGTCTCAAACAAACAAAACACAAAACAAAATAAAAGAATCACAACTGTGTCAAGTGCTCCACACATATGTACACTATATATGCTATTTTTAAAATGCCTGCAACGTTATAAGGTAGTTTCTATTGTTGTCCATATATTTAGATGATTTGGGTATCTTGCCAACAGTTACAGTCACTCTGTCAGTAGTGTTGTGAGAAAAATGGTGCGCGAGAGAAAGATGCCATGCAACATGGTTCAAACAGAGGGGTTTTTGTTTGTTTGTTTTTTTGAGACAGGGTTTCTCTGTATTGTTTTGGAGCCTGTCCTGGAACTCGCTCTGTAGACCAGGCTGGTCTCTAACTCACAGAGATCCACCTGCCTCTGCCTCCTGAGGGCTGGGATTAAAGACAGGAGAGAGGAAAGAGCAGGGAGAGAAAGAAGAGGGGAGAGAGAGAGAGAGAGACAGACAGACAGACAGAGAGGGAGAGAGACAGAGAGAGAGAGAGAGAGAGTGACAGAGACAGAGAGAGAGAGACAGAGGGAGACAGATAGAGGAGGAGAGAGAGAGGGACAGACAGAGAGGGAGAGAAAGAAAGAGAGAAGAATGGGAAGCGGGCAGGGCCCTTTAGAAGGGAACATAGTGAATGTGCACAGGTGGAGCTCTAAGTGGCTGCATCTGAGGACACATCCTGTCAGAACCCCAAGGACAGGTCAGAAGAGATGCCTGGATACTGACAGGTAGAGAATGAGACTCTTAATCTCAGCATCATGGGCAACAGATGTAGCACAAATAATAAAACAGACACAGATATTGGGGTTAAAGCTGAAGATCAGAGAAATAAAGTGGCCAGTCACTAGAGAGTTCCCACCTCTACCAATGCTCAGACCGAGGGGGTAATCCACCGAGCCTCAGACTGCTCCCAAATGCACTGCTCCTCAGATTCTTCCCCTCTCTAGTGCTGGG